TTTTTGGTTGCAGCAGTCGTTGTTTTGGCGGGTCCGGGCTGGGGATTCGAACCCGCCACCTTAGGTGTACTTGGCTGGCGCCTTAGCCGGTTGAGCTATAGGCGCCGAGCCTTAACCGTTTCTAAATGTGCCGTTTTTGTGTTGCACACATTGTTGTGCATTTATCACCATTGGTGTCTCCAGAACTTTCTCATCCACTGTCTCTAGCCCCATCCAGCAGCCTCCTAGCCGCCAGTGACTTTCCATCTCTGTGAATTTGAACTGCTCCAGAGATTCCATGTGAGAGGAATCAGATGGTAGTATCCTTTTGTGACTGGCACATGTCACTTAGTCTCAAGGTTCATCTGTGTGCCAGGTTGCTTTGGGATTGTGCAGGAAGTACAAGTCTTTTCTCTGCTGCTCAGGAGACTACCTGCATTCAGTGAAAGGCTACAGGCTTTGCAAGGTGTATGGCTGTGGCCATTGTAGGAGAGGCACCCATTTGGGAGACCTCAGCCTGGCTCTGGGGCACCTCTGAGGGCCATGTTTCTCCCCAGGGTGCTACGACTCTGAGTAGGCCTGTGTTTGTCATGGGCTTCTGCTTCACTTGCAGGTGATTGAGCCTATCACCTTGGGCCCCCTGGTGGCACTCTCTCCTCTTCCCTCCCAGACTGTGGCACCTTGGAATTGATGGGAACTGCAGGGATACGCCGGGCCAGCCTCCCTCCCAGCTAGTGACGGACGCCCTCGCAGCTCCTGGACATTGCCCGCCCTTCGTCCTCTGCCCAGGGATGAGCCTCCTCCTGAGTGTCTTCTCCATTGTTTCTTAAAGGAACCAGTTGCCACTGCTGCCACCTCCTTTTCTGTCAACCTCAGTAACTTCGACCTTATTTCTATTTTATGGTGAGGGAATTTTCTTCCCAACCATTATCATAAGAACTTTCTTCCCATCTTGGCTGTTTTACTTAAGTGGTTGTTCTTGATCTGAGGCCAGGGGTCTGGGTATTTCTTCCTGGTGGGTAGGCCAGCCCAAACGTGCCTGCTTGGAGCCCTCTGCCTATTCACATTTTGGCTGTGGACTAGTCTCTCTGTTCTTTTCTTATGGGGTTCCTCCCCAGACCGACTCCCTGGATTCTAGCCTCCAAGCAGCCAACCGTGATTATTTTCGTGAGGCAAGGAATTTCACTCCTAGACTTATTTCTAATCCTTCTCTCCATTTACTGACTTTTTCTCTTTAAGATATTTTTGGTTCCAGTGGGTCTTGGGGGGTTTTCTTGGCGGGGGCGGGGGGAGTTGCGTGGTTGTTCTGTCTCCTGAATATCCACTTCCTGCCTTAGCCTGCTGGTATGGGTACTGATGACCTGGCATCCTGTCTGGCACGTCCTTTGCCATACCTGTGGCAGATCTAGTGACCTGCTGCCTTTGCACCAGGGGCTGTGGACCTCTCCAGTTGTATGGGACAGAGGCAGGCTGGAGGCAGGGATGCCCACCAGTCCATTAACTTGATACCCACCTTCTTTCTCTCCTTAAGGATCTGTCCCAGATGTAAAGGCTCCTCCTGGGTACTACTGTGGCCAGATCAATACCCAGTGGCTTGGGGCCCTACTTCACTCCAGCACCGGCCCTTGCCTGCCCCTCCCTACAGCTTCTCAAGGCCAAGGTGCCAGGTGAGCCTGAGGCCAAGGGAGGGTGCCTTGCAGAAGCTAGAAGGGACTCTAGTGTCCGTGCTTCTTTTGTTTGTCTTGACTTATCTTGGGTTCATAACCTATGTTATGCGTGGTTATAGGCCTGGCTTAAGTGACCCACCCACTAGTCTGAGGCCTATTACCTAGCCCACCAAAGTGTAGGATCTCTCCTTCACCCTGTGACATCTCTGAGTGTGCTATTTTCTAAGGCCCTATGCCTCCCATCCCCCCACAGGTGTTTGGCCTGTGAACGCTGGGTCTTCCCTGCTCTGCCTGTTCCCTCTGGCCTTCAGGAAGCACACCCAGCTCCACAATGGCAGCAGAGACACTCAACTTTGGGCCTGAGTGGTGAGTCAGATTTGCCTTGGCTGGTGTGGAGAAGCCAAGGAAGAATAGGGCTATTCTGACCCTTGTCGTTCTCCTTCGTCTGTCTGTCTTACAGGCTTAGGGCCCTTTCTAGTGGTGGCAGTGTGGCCTCCCCACCCCCCTCTCCTGCCATGCCCAAATACAAGCTGGCTGACTATCGCTACGGACGAGAAGAGATGCTGGCTCTATATGTCAAGGAGAGCAAGGTGGGTGGGCAGGCATGGAGGTGTGTGGCTAGGTTGACTGATTGTTTTGGCCAGTGGAGACCCTGGGGCATGTGGTGTCTTGGTTTTCCTGTTCCACTTGACAGGTCCCTGAAGAGCTCCAGGACAAGGAGTTTGCTGCAGTGCTACAGGAAGAGCCGCTGCAGCCCCTGGCTCTGGAGCCCCTGACTGAGGAGGAGCAGGTGGGCTGAGCGGGGGCTGAGATGGGAGAGGCTGGGCTGGGCTGGAAGGCAGGTGAAGAGGTTGGGGTTCTGGGCAAGGCAGAGATGGTCGGGTGCCCAGGCCCTTATTCCTACCCCTGGCTCCCTCCTCAGAGAAACTTCTCCCTGTCAGTGAACAGTGTGGCTGTGCTGAGGCTGATGGGGAAAGGGGCTGGCCCCCCCCTGGCTGGCACCTCCCGTGGCAGGGGCAGTACACGGAGCCGAGGTAGAGGGGAATCATGTGCTTGGGGGTGGGCATAGCTGGGGCTGTGGTTTCAGGATATTATGGGTTTATGTTCTGGCAAGTTTCAAACTTAGATGCTTCTCATTGCTTCTCTAGGCCGTGGCCGGGGCGACAGTTGCTTTTACCAAAGAAGCATCGAAGAGGGTGATGGGGCCTTTGGACGGAACCCCCGGGAGATCCAGCGTAGCCAGAGCTGGGATGACAGGTGGGCAGAGGCAGAGCAGGTTGGGGTCCATGGAGGCAGGGTTTGGTCTTTGTCATTAGCAGGTAATGGGAAGTCCTTGGCAGAGAGTTCTAGGCCTTGTCCTTTTTCTTTTGACTCTATTAGGATCTGTTTGTCCCTATAACCTGTTCTATGTGTCTCCTTGTGCTCCCTTCTCTCAAGGCTGACTTTTCCCGAGTTCTCTCTATACTCTCCCTTCTCTCCTTTTGGGGCACATTGTGTAACAATCCCATAGGTTGAGGAGGAGAAGCTGTACGTTTTTTTGACCAACGCTTTTTTTCATGCAGAGGCGAAAGGCGATTTGACAAGTCGGCAAGAAGGGATGGAGGTATGGAGAGCAGAGCGGGTGGTGGTGGCGTGTGAGTGTACCATGATGGATGCCTTAGTTGGGGAGGATATTTATTGGAGGAGGAGGTAGAAACAGGAGATCATAGAGCTGGGCTCCTCAGTGGCCTGCAAGGGTCAGTGAGAGTCTTCTGGGTGCTGTGACTTCCATTTTGCTATGTCTCCCCCCACACCCTAGCACGATCTGGGTTTGAGGAGGGAGGGGCTGGCCCAAGGAAGGAGCATGCCCGTTCAGACAGCGAGAACTGGCGTTCTCTGCGAGAGGAACAAGAGGAAGAAGAAGAGGGCAGCTGGAGACTTGGGGCAGGACCCCGGCGAGATGGCGACCGCTGGCGCTCAGCCAGCCCTGGTAAGACTGGGCCAGATGGCATGGTGGGGGCTCTGGGAGATAGGAACTATCCCAGAAGGGTGGGCTCCTGTGGCCATGAAAAGAGAGCAGAAAGCTTGCTAGCATAGGGTGGCTGGGAGCACAGTCCATACAGTCCTTGAAATGCCAGTGGTTCTGGGGTTTGTCCCAGTGAATGGTGGCTGAGGAGAGAGTTTGGCTTGTCTCAGATACTGATTCTCCTCCTCTGACTTTTCCTGCCCAGATGGTGGCCCCCGCTCTGCTGGCTGGCGGGAACATGGGGACCGGCGTCGCAAATTTGAATTTGATTTGCGTGGGGATCGAGGAGGGTGCAGTGAAGAGGAGGGGCGGGGTGGGGGAAGCAGCTCTCACCTCCGGAGGTGCCGGGGGCCTGATGGCTTTGACGAAGACAAGGATGGGCTCCCAGAGTGGTGCCTAGATGATGAGGATGAAGAAATGGGCACCTTTGATGCCTCTGGGGCCTTCTTGCCTCTCAAGGTATCTGGGAGGAGATGAGGGAAAGGCTCTTGGTCACATTGTTGGGGATCTTCCCTGTTGTGCTCCTCTCACCCATTCATTCTCTGCCCCCATCACCCCATGTGCAGAAGGGCCCCAAGGAGCCCATTCCTGAGGAACAGGAGCTCGATTTCCAGGGTCTAGAGGAGGAAGAGGAAGAACCTTCCAAAGGGCTGGAAGAGGAGAATCCTGAGGCAGGTGAGCCTTGGGTGGGCAGGGAGGAGGCACATAGTTTGGAGAGGGGCCAGGTGGCCAGAAGAGGCCTTTGGTGGGCCTGGGGCTGGCTGCCCTTCTACCTGTAGGGTCAGTCTGCTTAGAAGTATGCAAGAAGGATGGTGCCTGTAGCTCAATCAGTAGGGCGCCAGTCCCATATACCGAGGGTGGTGGGTTCAAACCCGGCCCCCTCAACAACAAAACAGGAGGAGGTGAAAACTGCAACAACAACAAAATATAGCCAGGCATTGTGGCGGGCGCCTGTAGTCCCAGCTACTCGGGAGGCTGAGGCAATAGAATAACCTAAACCCAGGAATTGGAGGTTGCTGTGAACTGTGACGCCAAGGCAAAAGTGAGACTGTCTCTACAAAAAAAACTATGGGCTCAGCGCCTATGGCTTAAGTGGCTAAGGCGCCAGCCACATACACCTAAGGTGGTGGGTTCGATTCCAGCCTGGGCCCGCCAAACAACAATGACGGTTGCAACCAAAAAATAGCTGGGCGTTGTGG